AATTTTTTTTTTTTTTTTTTTTTGAGTTGGAGTCTCACTCTTGCCACCCAGTCTGGAGTGCAGTGGCACACTCACAGACACCTCGGCCTCGACCTGCTCTGCTCCAGCGATCCTTCCACCTCAGCCTTCCAAGTAGCTGGAACTAGAGATGTACACCAGCATGCCCGGCTAGTTTTTGTGATCTGTTGTAGAGAGACAGTTTCACCAAGTTGCCCAGGCTGGTCTCGAATCCCCCGAACTCAGGCAATCCTCTTGCCTCAGTCTCCCAAAGTGCTGGCATTACAGGCTGAGCCACCACATGTGGCCCTTCATGATATTTTTATCTCTGGATTCTCCATTGGCTCACGAGATCTTCTGGGCCTTAATAAGAAACTTCTGCTCCCAGTCTCTTGTGTGCTTTTATGGGCACAGGCCAAAACAATAGTCTGCATTGCTTGCATCCCCCCATGTCCTCCCTTTTTTGGGGCAGGCCACAGTGAACTTCTCTTGCCCAATGGCAGGTGTCTGATTGCATCAGTTTAGGTAGCTTTGGAAGAAGACTGGAAATGTCAGACCTTCACTCTGAACTGTACAACCCTCCAGTGATGTGGAGAACATGGCCTCACCTCTTGTCACATCTTTCCACTTGCCATCTGGCTTGAGTTGACCTACCTAGAGGTTACTCCCAGATGTGAACAAGGGAAAAAAGTTCTCGTGGGTACCTTTATTTAATCTTGGAGTAGTAGGCAATTGGTGAACAAAATGACAGGTTAAATAGGCAGCAGGAATAAAAATTTTGAATCTTGGATTTCACCAGCTATCTGTGGTTCCACCGTTGTTGGCCTGGTCCGTGAGCTTGTTAATATGTGTTTTTAAGTCTGATAAACCATATATTTTATGATTTATGCCTCCCTCTGTATTTATTAATTTATCTGTGCTTTTGTTTAATAGTCAGCTGTTGAGTACCTGCTATATGCCTTACACTGTGTTGGATGCTGGGGTCAAAAATATTATTAAAACATGACCCTGCCCTCACAGGTTTGAGTAGTAAAGACAGACATGTAAACGAAGTATAGTAATGCTGTTTGGATATATGATGTCATAGTAACACCACAGGAGCCTAAAGTAGATGTCTCTAACTCTACTTCAAGGAGGGAGGGAAAGAAAGACACAGTGATGTAGGCACTGAAGGAAGACTGCAGCTTTCCTAGATGCATAAATGAAGAACAGCATCCCAGACAGCCAGAAGAACATATGCAAGATGTGAGGAAAGAAGAAGCCGCATATCAAAGCGGGGGCCTCAGTAGCTCAGAGTGGCAACCGATGCAGGGCGTACATAGCTGATGAAGTCAGATAATAGTCAGTTAGCTCATGTGGAACCGTGTATTTTATACCAAGCCATTTGCCCCTTATCCTACAAGAAGTGAATAGCTATTATGGGCTCTTCATTAGGAGAGTGACACAGTCAGATTGTCATGATAGAGAAACAATTCAGGTGACAGGATGGTAGAGCAATGGAACTTGGAATGAGAGGGGAAGCGAGGAGAAGGCTGTTGTAGGAGAGCTTGTGAGCAGTGAGGTAAGACAAAGCAATAAGGATGGATAATTTATTACAGAGTGATTATTTAGGAGGCAGAATCACTAATTATTAATGCATATGTAGAATAAAGCGGAGGAACCAAGATTCATTCCTGAGTTTCACCCTTAGACTCCAACATGGAAAATTGTGTCGTTAACAGAAACTGAAAATACAAGAGTGTGGTAGTGTGGAAAGGGTGTTGGGTGGAGGGATGGGGCGGAAGAAGAGATGATACATTGACTTTAGGAATTTGAGTGTCGGATGGTTATAAAAGATCTGTGTGGATATGTCTGATGGGCAATTAGAAATGTGAATCAGAAGATGTCAGACTAATTTTAACAATTTTATGTACAGGGTAAAGTGTAAACAAATCATTAGCCTCCTCCCACAGGATCTGTCAGCAAAGCAGTACAAATGATAACCGTCTCTTAAGTTCACAGACACTGGAGACAGGAAATCCATCCTCCACTTATCTGACATATTCCTATAAGTGGAGGTTATCTTATTTTTTGAGCATTTTATGTAATTTTCAGTTGGGTATTAAATGATATTGGCCATGGGCTTTTATCACCTCATTCATTCTGCCTGGCTAAGAGTCATGCTCCACAATGTAGTGAAGCTCAGAGATGATCAATTGGAACTTCTCTCTCTTCACTGCATCTTCTTATCAATAGTCATAGCAACCCTTAGCAAGAGTATAAAAGACAAGCAATCGCTGTGTCTCCTTTTGTACATGGCCTTAAAAGGAGACTTGTAGAAAAAATACTGTAATCATTATTAGAGTCATAAACACAACCTAAACACCTGGTGTTTGCATCCTAGCTCTGACAGTTGCTAATTGTTTGGCTTTGAGCAAGTTCCTTAGCTGCTCCTGCAGCTTGGGGTTTGTTTGTCTGTTCATTTATTTTAGAGATAGCCTTTAACTCCTGGGTTAAGCAACCTTCTAACTCCTGCCTCCCAAGTAGCTGGGACTACAGACACACACCACCATGCCTGGCTAATTTTGGGGGTTTTTAAAAAAATTTTTTGTGAAGACAGAGCCTCACTATGTCGCCCAGGGTGCTCTCAAATTTATGGCCTCTAGCTATCCTCCTGCCTTGACCTCCCAGAATATTGGGATTACAGGTGTGAGCCACCATGCTTGACCTATTTGCTTTTTAACATTTTATTTTATGTCATATTTTAAAATTCCTTCTTTTGAAAGTTTGTAACATATAAAAAAATTCAAGAATAGTACAATGAATACCCATAAGCCCTGTACCCATATTTATCCACTGTCAATATTTTGCGCCTCTCTCTCTCTCTGTGAATCTCTCTCACTTGAGAGATTCTTTGTTGTTGCTAAACCATTTGAGAGATAATTGCAGATAACACAGAACTATACCCCAATTAATTCAGTATGAATCTTCTAAGAAGGGCATTCTCCCACACAAACCCAATATAGTAATCACACTCAGGAAATTTAACATGAATATAGTACTAATAGTCAATCTATTAGTCTATTAGTTATCTAATAGTCAATCAGTATTCAAATTTCCCTAGTTTTGTGAATAATGTCCTTTATAACTGGAGGAATTTTTTTGTTCTCTTTTCATTTTATGATTCTGGAATCTGGTAAGAATCTCACAGTGCATTTCATTCTTACTTCTTTTTAGTCTCCTTGAATCTAATGAAGTTCTCCAGCTTTTTTTTATTGTTATTGATTTTTTTTCAGGACACTGACAGTTTTTCAGAGTTCAGGATATTTATCTTACACAGTGTTCCACAGCTTGGATTTGTCTAATCCCTTTCTCCTAAACAGGCTCATTGTAAGCATTTTTGGCATGAATACCACACAGGTGATGTGGTGTTTCTTATCTTTTTTGAGACTTAGTTTGCACCTCATGGGAAATTATAATTCAATGAACCAAAGTAGGTATAGTGCCTCGTATATTCTACAGCATGAAGCCGGCCTTCGTGGCTGTGGATACTGACATAAAGGCAGGCCACCTTGGTGTAGCTGAGAGATTCCATTTGGAAGCCAGAAGATGTTAAATGATCACAGTGGTTGATAATGCCAATAACTATGGAAGGGGAAATGGGGAGGAAGGGGAGGTGATGGTACTTTATATGGATGGGAGCATGAAGCAAACATTTGTACTTTTGTGGTTTTTGCCTTGCTGCTATATCCTCCCCACAGGATGTGTGCCCCATCCCTGTGCCCACCCAGCCAAAGTAGGTAGGTTCTCCCTTCCGATCACA